GGGCGACCAAGACGACAAGCGGGAGTCACGGCACGGCGAGGACCAGCGGGGAAGGCGAACAACATCAAGACCTCGCGACGAAGCCGTCCGCCGTGGCTCTGTCGAGCGCGAGCTCCAACTCGAGTTGGATGGTGGTCGAAACCGAGGGAGAGCCCGGCACTGGATCCGCACCATTAAAGACGACGCCGCGGCCTGTCTCGCCTCCCTCTTCCTCCTCAACCACAGGACCTTCCACTTCGACAGGGGCAGCGGGTGGTTCGAACTGGACGGCATCACTCCGCGACCGGGCCCCGCGCGTCGACGCGTCCCAGATCCAAGCTTCGGCACGCGAGGGCGCGGCTCGCGCAGGCGCGTATCTCAGCGGCTGGGGCACGTGGGCGAGGGAACGGATCCAACAGCAGAATCAGCAGAATCAGCAGAATCAGCAGCAACAAGCGAAGGGGACCCCGTCGTCTCAGACCCCGTCCCAGACCCAGAGCACACCTGGACCAAGCGAGGCGGGGGATGCAGGCGGCGGCGGTGGAGGGGGATGATTTTACCAGATGGTTTGGTTGGTTTCTTGAGTGATTGATTTACCGGAGTGGGCGATCGATTGAGCGATTGAGCGAGCGAGCATCGAGCATGGAGAGAGCACAAGGACAAGGTCCAGCCTGGTTGATTGATTGATTGATTGATTGAGGGACAGACCCGGAGACCGGGGGCCGAATGAGGTAGCACACTCGAAGCAGTATTTACAAGAAGTAAAATGGAACAGGAGTAGGAATAGGACCATTCTTGGGCATGTTCATCCCGTCGCTCCAGACACCTACCTACCTGTATCTACTTGCAATGTTTCGTGGTGGGGAGCGTAGCGTCAAGGCCATTCGTTCCCTCAATAATTTCTTCGAATCTATTCCTTGCGACGCTACACTGCGAAAAGACACGACAAGAGCACGAAGTCTGTAGCGAGAAAAGGAACACCTCGTTTCTAATGTATGAATGTATGTATGAATGAATGCGTGTATGTAGACTGACTACCCAAGTCCGACTTCTGCCTGTTGGAATCGCCTCAGTCGCTAACGAACGCCATTGTGACCTGTAAACCGCGGATTGGGATGAAACAGAGAGTCTTCTTTTTTCATTGTCATCATACCACTCACTAATGGGCCCTTGCGTGCGCGCGAAACACAACCAGCGCCAAATACTTCTCGTCATGACCTGCCCAAGACCAAGAACCGTCCTTGTCACAACCTCGTTATCGTCCTCGGGGGACAAACGCACGCACGCATAATACTCGGTGCCGTTCATTCAGACCCCTTTCCACACTTCCGACCCATTGATTCTAGTCGACTTTGTGAAAAACTCTCAATGGTTAATGTGCACGCGTCGTCAAGTCGTTCAGTCGAATTCGTTCCCATCAGAAGCCTTGTTTTTTCCCCACGCTCCGAGAACTGCCCGGTCGAGTCGTGACGCTGATCGTAGGAGAGCAAAGAAATTGAGAGAGAAGCCAATGCAGTCCGCTGCACCACCGCGCAATGCTGTTGTCCGTACCATGCGTGTTGATTAGGTGAAATCGCCCGTCAACAAATCGTTCCAAATCCGTCCCCCCCATTCGCCCTGATTCACCCTCGTCTTTCGAGTTCTGAGAATTCTCTACCTGGAATGTCGGCAAAAACATAGAAGAAACATCCACTGAAGAGACTTGTTTCCTCTGGCCGACAGCTGTAGCCCCTCCAGGGAACCAATAGATTTCCCTCTTTGGAGAGAGCTATTCTGCACAAAAAGTGCATTACTCATGCAATGTACGCTAATTCGTCATTGTCCAAACGTTCAATGTAATCTTTCTCCATCAGGGCATCGATGTTTTTCTTGATGTCGGAGATTTTGGGGGGGAATCGGTTACGGACTTGGTTGATGACTTCCTCGACCAGATGGACATGCTTGAGCTTCTTGCGACCTTTCATAATACGAACGATCACAGCCTGATAAAGTTAGCAAGACGCACAAGCAACAACACAACTGCAAAACACCTACCTGGAGTAACAGTTTCCGATCCTCCTCAATGGTCTTGTGAGTGTCTTCCGATTCCACCTTTTGTTCGGATTTGACAGTGATATTCAGGTTAATCTTGACCTTCTTGTTCTTGAAGTTGTAGTTGAGCGAATAACTAGTGCCGGGTGCCGGCTTGCCGTCTTCGGGCGACGAGATCAAGACGCGCGCTTTGCACAGGATGCCAATCGCCGGTTCAATTGTTTCATCGGTCAACTTGGTAAGTTCTTTGATTTCGGAATAATCCATCTTGTCGGAGTCGTTGAACAGAAGCAGGATGGCCATCTGGTAGGTGGAAACTTGAAAGGTGTAAGGCACTTTCTGGCTCTTGATATAATTGGCTCGAATCTCGCCTTTGCACAACTGCCACAGCCATGTCAACTTGCGACCATTGTGTTTCTGGTCGTAGAAGCGGGTAAATGACTCGATGGCTTTGCTGACTTCAGCAGGAGGGGCAAATGGAGTGTTGGGAGCATTGAGAGGCCAGAAACCCGTTCCCAAGATTTGGAATGTCGAGTCGACCGTCCTCTTCTCGTCACTGTCCTCGAGAATCTTGTCATGCCAGTCTTTGTAGGCAGTATTGAGATCCTTGGAAATTTGTACGTCTTGGAACATTCTCTGAAGCTTGTTAGTGTACTCGTAACCACATGCCTCCTTCAATTTGCTGATCATGCTCGTTTCCGCATCGTCTGATACCGAGCTCGTGTGCACTAGACGCTTGGCCAACATTCGGGAATAGAACTTCTGGAACACGTCCTTGTCCTCGATGTATTTAAACACGACCATAATCTGTACAAGAAGTTCTTCAAGCTCAGACTCGTCTGCCGCCTTGGCACCTTTCTTGAGGAGTTGATCGGCGTATTTAGCAAGCAGTTCGGGGGATCGAGTAGAGTTGGTTTTGCAAACTTGGTTGTGGTTGACAAATTCCTGGCAAGCATTGTCGAGCGACCGCACAAATTCGGATTCTCCCGTAAAGGCGACATTGACGAGTTGTTGATATTTGCCGTGGATTTCGAGCAACGCATCGACATAGACTTTTGGTTCAAAGCTGTCTCCTTGGGCCGCAACCTTCTCCACAGCTGCAATGCCGGCTTTGCGGACGTGGCTCTCGAATCGCGTCCTCAGGGGGTCCAGCCCATCCTTGATTCTGGACAGGAGTTTGTACATCCGCGCAAGGTCCTCGGTACGCTCGTTGTCGAGCAGCACCTGAAATTCATCTCGCAGCAGGACAGAATGAGCGCTGATGAGGGCTTCGTTGCACGTTTCCATAAGTTTTTTCATAATGTCCGGGTGCAAGTAGAGGCCCACACGCTCCTTCTCTTCTTCTAATCTTGCCTCTGCCTTCTTCATGTACTCGACAACGCTGTTCTCTGCCACAAACCGGCGGGACTCGTTGATGTAGTATTCTTTGGTGGCGAGGATAAATGGGCGTTCGAAGTAAAGGCGGTAGACGTCCAACGTGGATTTGCTGCTGTCATGCTCATCCAAGCCGAGGGAGACGAAGGAATCGACAATGGCCTTGATCTGCATCTGATCAATAGTCTCGCCGTTGCGTTGTTTTTCAACGAGTCTCAAGACCGCATCCATTACCTTGCCCTCGACCGCCTTGAAGAAGTCGTCCTTCCATTTAACCAGGTGGAGTGTGTAGACGTCGTAGACGTTTTTCTTGCCTTCATCAATTTCTCGCTTCACCCAGTGCCGGTTCAGATATCTGAAGAGGTGGTTGTTGTATTTTGCAGCGTCGGTATACCGTTTCCATTCTCGGATGTAGAAGGCCAGCAGCGCCTCGTCTGTATGTGATTCGGAAGCGGCTAGGACATCGCGAAGATGTCCCGTGAGATATTTACCAAGGAGGGTGTAGAGCTCCTCACCCAGAAGATGGGCGCCTCGATGAGCGGGACTTAAGGTTCCTGGTGAGCCACCCTGACTTTGATTCGTGGCTGCTTTTTGCGAAGTACAGAAATTGTGAACCGCGGTATACACGCCCCTGGCATCAGGTCAGAAAAGACTACTACCTGCGCAAGGGGGATTTTAACAAACATGTATGTCTTCATGTCAAGACCCTCCTGCAACTTGTTCATTACATTGTCGACGTTCTTTTCGAGATATGTCCACCTAATACCAGTCAACAGGGGCTTTTGCTTTTAATGTGACACCCTTACGTAGAATCAAGATCGTCTCGCGCTCGCATCGCCGGGTTAGAGGCCGTGCTCGCCGTAGGTGCCATTTCGGGAGGATATCTTTGTCTTCACTGAAGACTTGGAGAAGTTATTGTTGCAAGGAGCAGATATAAAGGTCTGGTGGAGGGGGCGAGAGGTTATGTAAAGGCGACCGTGGCAAACGGAAAGCAGCCTGGGTGTTGTCTCCGTGCGGCAACTTGCGTGCTTTGAGTTCTTCCTCCTCCTCTCGAGTTCTTGCCAGATCGGTTCCTCGGTTCGACAGCGAAAGAGGGAGTGAGGGAAACTCGAGGGTGATTCGACTGAATGGTACAGTAGCGGGTGAATTTCAGTCACTGCGGATTCAACGAGGAAGCAATGTCATTCCTGAAACGCATTCCAACTCACGGACAGGTGACCAGAAAGGACGAGGCGTTGGTCGTAATCGCTGCAGGCAAAAGATGCTGTATGGAGGTAGGCTGTTGGATGAGAGGCTGCGCGAGAAGGGCAAGGCCACAGCACGTCTGGTCGGTCTGGATCATCCATATCTTCCGGAGAGATGATGACTAACTAACTTGACCAGATGACGTCATTTAACTCTAGTCTGAGCGTGTTCTCTGCGTGTTCTGTTGTCGCTTCTATACACTGTCTTGGAATTTCACAGGCCGCCCATGTAAAGTGCTCCTCTTCTCCTGTTCTAACGCTATCATCTCTCTCGTGCATGAGGCACTGCACGGGCCTCTTCGCAACCCTGTCAGTCCGCAAGTCTCCGAACCACGGACACTCCGATCTCGACGAGTTCGCTGAAGACACAACATGCCGATCACTCCGTTGAGTGCTTTGCGAGTTTCGAAACATCAGATCCCCGCCTACAAAGGCATTCCAAACACCTCCATACAAGGCAAACCACTCATGATATACCACGGCGTCTTTACAGACCCCCAGCCCTCAACCATCGAATCTCACCTCAACTCCGTCGGGGTTGTTTCTCCACAATGGAGATACACCATGTTTAGCGAGACTCACTTCCACTCCACAGCCCATGAAGTTCTCAGCATTGCTGCAGGGTCTGCAAAGTGCTGCTTTGGAGGTGAAAAGAACGAAGGCCGAGTGGAGCCTGTTTTGGAGCAAGGGGATGTTGTAGTGGTCCCTGCTGGGGTCGGTCACCGGTTGCTGGAGGATTATGGCGGCTTCCAGATGGTAGGATCTTATGAGAAGGGCAAAACATGGGATATGTGCTATGGGAAGCCCGGCGAGGAGGACCAGGTCAGACGGATTGGAGGCTTGGGTTGGTTCAAGCGCGATCCAGTATATGGCAACGAAGGCCCCAGTCTGAGTGTATGAGGGATTTGCCAGAGGTGTATCATTGACGAGGACTAAAGGGGTATGTAAAGCCATTAATCATGCCGAGCAGTCCTCCGCTGGCATGGGTCTTGCCACCGGTGGGCTCTGTACAAAACAGATTTTAAACATTTTGGTCGTAGAAGTCCAAGTCGTGAAATCGTTTCACTTCGTGTCGATTCGTTCTACCAGCCTGGACACAATCAGTAGACGTCCATAGAGGGGTCGGGGACGACTAGGCTTACCTCAAGACGCTAATGGAAAATGTCATTAACCATGCAGTAAGTGACACCAACAACACACCGCTGAGGGCCTCTGCTCTGTTGCAGATGCTCCCAAATCTGCCGGTCGTCCTCACAAAATCGCCAGTTTTGCAGGCGCCTTCATCCACGGTCAGGGATTCAAAACTTAAACTCAAATTTGCCGACTGAAACACAATGAAGAACAGATCGAGCAGCATCAGCCGTACTTTTGCTCTTGCACGTCGCAACCCGAGAGGCTTCGAAAAGTATTCGTCGTAGGTGATGTATATGGTGTAGATGATCGCAATAGCATCTACTATCACCGCCATCAAGCCTGAAGGATCTCGATAATAGTCGGTGGCTGAGGCGCCGACGCGCTGTGCACATTCGGGAGTGCGCCGGTCTGGTGGTTGTTTGATGCACTTTGTGATCTTGCCGGTTTCATGGTATATTGAAGCCCCTAGGCCCAGAGCGACGAGGGCAAAAGACAACACTGTCAAGCGGAACGCAAGAGGAATAAATGGATTTCGTAGGATGTAGAACTGGGCGCGTTTATACCACACCTGTCTTTTCCGGCGAAAGGCACGATAGCGGGAACTGCCATCCTCGACATCGTCATCGTCGTGGTCCGCAAGCCATGTTTTGGAGTAGTCGGTAAAATTCTGGTTGAGCCAATCCGTATCCACCTTTTCACTATTGAAATTCTCTCGTGGGTAGGCGCTGGGTTGGGCAAAGGACATCCATCTCGAAGTTCGCGGGGGTGTGGCCTTGCCTGACGGTGTAGCGTAGCCCTCCTCGTGAGATTGCCCGCTTGATATAATGGGCCGCCTTGCCGTGGACGAGCTGTAATGATGTTGAGCAACCAACGCCGCATGTGGGGTGTCCGGGCCCTGGAATTGAGGATCGCACAGATCATCTTCATCCGCATCTCTTATCCAAGCTGCTCGAAAGTGTTAACCTTGTTCACCAGAGTCTGACCGGAGCGAGAAAGTGACCTACGGGGAATGGTTCGAACTGGGAGCGGCGATGTTGGTTTTGCCCTGGCCGGTTCTGACTGCGTACTGAGTGCAGTTGACAGGCCTGCTCGCGGAGGGCCTCTGGTTACAGCATACCGATGCTTCCCTTGCGAGTTGATATTCTTCCGAGGCTGGGACTGTTGTTGCAATGCCGCAGTCTTGGTGGGGGATGTTGGTTCTCCTTCTTGCGTGGTTAGTTGAGGGACGGTGTTGCGATCCGGGACTGGCAACGCGGCCTTCTCGGGATCTCTTGATGGCGCTTGCCATGGAAAGCCCGATTCAGTGGCCATGTGAATGACCGGTTAGAAACGTAGGAGTCCCCAGAAATCTGGGTGTTCCGGCAAAAAGAGGTTCAAGGGCCACGGGCTTGTGAGGGCATATCGAGGGTGGTCGGTCGCGTAAAATCGCCTGGTGGAAGTCGGAGGAGGCCGTGTCAATGCTCAGTCAAGACCTTCTCCGGTATTGTAGCAACGGCGTTGGATAGAGATCGCTTTTTTAAGGCTTATAGACAGAAAGATATATTAGGTAGTGCTGCACCATATGCCACATGGGGAGTTTGACCTGCCTTAGTAGGAGGCTGATCATTCATCACGGAGGAACCTTGGAGTAAGCTCATCTGGCGAATGGGGGCTTTTGCTTGCCGCAGATGGCTGTGGGAACACTTGCCTTGGTGCTGCCTAGGTGACGCCCTAGAACGCGTGCTGCCTTGGCCCCTGGGAAGCTTTGGGGCGAATCAATGCATGGGATTCAGCCATGACGTTGGTAGATCTTGTAATATATAATCTTACTCGATGAGGATTTTGTTTGCGCAATAGTCGCTACCAAGTACATACCTGCACAAAGGCCAGATTGCAGCTACAATTCGTTTATTCAGCCTCCAGCAACATCAGGGGAGGGAGATATTGAACTTCTCGTCGCTCGTCTTCAGCTTTACTGGTGTTGCTCCACTAAGATTTCGGACAGCATGCTGTCTCGACCATGATTTCATCGAAACTTCCCTGAACGGCGCACATCGGTCGCATTCTCGGTTCCCTTGACCTCCAGTGCGCAGTCGTCGCGGCTATGCGAATCTTTCTCCTACCTCTCACCACGCGACAAGCACTCGTCTTCTGTCAACGCGCTGCTCCAAAGCCCAACGCGAAACCAACTATCGCCGATCGAATTACAGCAAAGGCTGCTGAGACATGGGCCAAGTGGGAAGCAGCAGATAGAGGATGGCGAAAAACAGTTGTCCACTATGGCAACCAAGGCTTGCAGCGTATACCTTACCAGGAATGGGGATTAAAGAGCTTTCCTCCTTCCAATCCCAAACTGCAGGCCGAGCAGATCGCACAAGGCAAGAAATTCGATGTCATCTACCCTGGTAATATCATGCACAAAGACGATGTGCCAAAGGTTCTGGCAAGGCTGGCTAGGGAACGCAAGCAATTGCACTGGAATCGGTTCATCGGAAGCATGGTCGCCATGCCACTCTGCATACCGTTTGCACTTGTGCCTGTGTATGGTCTTGCCCTCCTCTTCCCTGTCCATGAGCCCATCAGCATGGCTAACGAGCAACAGAATTCCCAATTTCCCCTTTTTCTATGCTGCATATCGGTGTTGGTCTCATTGGAAAGGTAATTGGCAGGGTCCCTTGGCAACCGACATGTCTGCTAACAGGCTACCAGCTTTGAAAGGTTCTGATCACTTGGATTTCATCCTGGACAATCGACTTTTTCGACCAATTTCGCCGCCGAAGATTGAGGACCTGTATGAGCAGGTGGCACCTGATGCACCGGATTTCACGTTTGTCACGCTGAGCCAAGTCCTAGACGGCAGTGCACCTCCTGAAAAAATCATCCTCCCTGCAGACAGCCACGACCTTGTGGCCAAAGTGACAGGAGTGCCAGAGCTGAGTGGAGAGGTTGAGAGGGCAATTTGGCAAGTAGAAAGACAATTAAAGCGCGACAAACAACAGCATGAAAAGCGGGCGCTATCGCAGCCTCCTAAAGATGCTGGAAGCACTGGATCCCGGACCAAAGGCCAATAACGCGCAAGAAATGGCCATAATGTTCGTGGGATGGGTTATGAAATGATGATAGACTTGGTGGCAAAGTGGCACATTGTGCTGCATTACTGTACTATATGAGCTCCACAAAATATGGGGGATAAACCAAGTTGGACAGTTAATTCAACTCGATTATACAAGAAAGATAGTCTATAAGACGACGGGTATGTAGGTCATTTGAGTGGAAAATTGTCTACTCGGTACAAGGTACCTCACTTGTATTCGGTACTTGTAGTGGTTGAGGCGGGTGGCGCAGCTGCGGCGCTCCCAAGCAGGCGGCAGGGAACTTGGCTTCACTTCCCGTCCCCCCATAATGACATCCACAACCACATCTCTAAATCCACGGCCAGACCATGAAACAGCGTCCTCTACTCAGTACGTTGGCAGGCCTCGATTCGATCCACTGCCGCATCTCGCCATACACTCCGCATTGCTCTTCTTCCTCCCTCCAGTCATCGACCCTCCTACACTGGCGAATCTAAGACTGGACGAGGCGGGCACAAGCAATCTTCCTGTACTAATTCGGTCACCGCGAAAAGAATCCTTCGAGTTCCTTCACGCTAGTCCTGGGTCCACGAAGTATCATCGATCTCGACACCCGCTACAGGTACTCATAACATCTTCTGGGTATGGTAGGAATGGAGATTTCTTATCCTTCACCTGTACCAACCTTCTAAGCTCCAAAAGTCTTTTCGCCTTGACAGCCTTCCACATCCCCAGACTACGCCAACCACAAACAGACTGGAGTCCACCATCTCGATCTCTATTCGGCTACAGACAAAGTATCCCTGCAACACCTCAGACCTTGCTTTAGATTTGCCATGTTTTCAAACACCGAGGTCAACCCAGACTCTCCCTGTCCTACAAACTCAGGTGTCTACCTGGCGGCTCAGAGGTACAGCGACAAACGACATCTGGAAGCCCCAAAAGTCTATGTACCACCACCTACTCTCGAGTACCACGACGGCAAGCCTTCTTTCAGAGTTCTTGTCACCCCTTTTACCCAACACTCCACACAATATGGTAATCCGGATTTCTTGACCGCGCTGGTCACCAGTCACCAGCTGGATTTGACCCACTCGATGCTTATATGGCAGTACGAGATGCGCAGAAGTGCTCAGTATATCCTTCCATTCTTGCTGCTGGGCCCCAGTAGCTCGGCCAAGGACCCCGTGTTTGTGAAGCAAACGGGCGTCACCCTCCTTGTTGCCGTTCGCTCTACCAGATCATTGCTGACGAGACCGACCTTCCTCGATCCTGCACGCTTTCCTTCGAGCTCGGGGCTTGCGACCTTGACTTTGGACTTTGATCATCCAAGCAATTTCATCCCTCTGGTCAAGTCGACTGTTCGAGCGATAAATGACCATCTCGAGATGTCATGTGCCCGCACACCGATTCAAGACATTAACGACGTCCGCGGTAAGGTTCTCGTCTTTTGTGAGTCCGGAAATGACCGATCTCCGTTGTTGGTAGCCGCATACTTGATGATTGTTTACGGAGTGGACGCAATCTCTGCCATTCATATCATCCAGTCGCAGCGCTTCTGTATCAGTTTAACGGACGAAACGAAGAATGTTCTCCTAGATTTGCAAGCAATCACTCGAGCTGAACGCCAGGTCTCCGGCTCAAGTGCAGGCGCATTGACTGACGGCGTCAAAGAGAGGGTGCCACCCAGAATACTAGGCAAGCGCAGTTTGG